TTCTCCGCGCCAGATCAGGCGATGAATCCATGCGAGTTTCATGGTCGGAATGCGAGCACCCACTGTCCCTACGGCTGCCGCCGCGCGGAGACACTTGAATGTTGATCTCGTCATCGTGGATCATGACATCCCCAAAGCTCAAGTTCAACGGATCAGATGGCCTGAACTGAGGCGACCCGGGCATCGAGGGAGGGTAGTTAACGTTATAGCTCTCATTCGGGAACGACGGTGCAAGCTTCGTTCGTGAGGACCGACTGGACCCGCGACGACTGACGCGTTGACGAGGGTCGCTGGAGCCGTAGCTAGGGAAGATCGGAGCTGTTGCGGTACGCTGAATTGACTTGGACAAGAGGGGAGCACCCTCATCCCACGACTGTTCACCTTCCTCGGCGCTGTCACCAACGTAAGAGTTTCGCAATCGGCTGCTCGTCTGCGGCGTGGCCGAGGGAAACCCACCGCCGGGCGTCATGATCGATGGCCGCCGGGTCCGGAGTGATTGCTGGTCTCTTGAAGTTGGTGTCAGTATGTTTCAAACCTCGAAACAAAAATGTAGTAAATTTGCCAGCTTACCGGTGATCCAGGAGTGCCTCGCTCTCAATGCTAGTATTGCTCAGATTAGAGCGATGGAGATAGAACTCGTCGCGGTCGTTGGAGGGTGCCGGAGCTTCGTCGTGGGACTCCTCCGGTAAGACAGCGAAGGACTTGCGCCGATTGCGCTTCTTCTTGGCTCCGCCACGGTGATTCTTTCGCCGACGAGGCTGATGCTGTCCGTTCTGGTCATTACCGTTCGCATTGCCAGACGGGGTGACGGGGGGCGGTGGTGGTGCTGTCGAGCTTGACCCTAGCGCATTGGACTGTCTCCGGGGTGTTGGTGTTTGGAGATGCGCAGCTAGGGGCTGGAACGGGTTGCCAGACATGTTGGCAGCGGGAGGAGTAATATGTCACACCGTCTCCTTGCAACGCTTATGTACGCGATGCGGTGGTGCCGTGGGTCGGCGTCGAGTAGACGCAGGCTAGGCGTGTACCGTGGGCCGACTGCCTGGGGGAATTTGGTGGCGACGGGGCTTGATTCCACGTGAAGGAGACGAAAGACTCAGAGCTGCGGACTGGAACTGCGGTCGACGGGGGGTGGGCTTCAGCCGTGTTTGCGTTTTCTGTGGAGCGAGCTGGGAATACAGCTCAATGGGAGAGCAGCAGGCCGGACGGAGATAACGACGATGTCGTCTCGGAGGCTCTGCAAGGATGTTTTGGACCTTGGTAGACAGCGAGGCGAGCAGAGATACGTGTCAGTGGAGCCAAGCTGTCGAAGGATGCGTGAGGTCGACCGATTGGCAAGGGACGGGAAGGATGGTAGGATAACATGTAAGGCACAGCGGACGAGCAGGAAGAGTAGTAAAATTTGCGCCGTCCTTCGTTGGCTGACTGGCCGGTTGGTGGTGGTGACTTGCACCAGGAGAAAAGTCTGCCGATCGAATGGGAATTGGAGATAAAAGGCGATGCATCCGTTGCTTTCGGTGATGTCAGTGGGAAACTGGAACAACCCAGCGCCCCTAGGTCCTTCCAAAGGCTAAGCTGCTTTTAGCGCATCCAGGACCCAGCACACACGGGCTTGCTGAGACCCCGCCTCATTGGCTCCATTGGCCTCTGAGAGGTCCGAGAGCAGCGAAGAGCTTGCGCTCCCAGCTCGCCCCCGATCCACGCACTGCTTGTGACTGGCTGCAGCGCCCTCGACCGGCCACCTCCGAGCATTTAGGGCGTCTGCCGGTGAGCATACAGCGGGCTGGGGGACCACTGAGCTGCCATCCCCGCAGTCGCAGTGGGGTCGCAGCGGTGGTCCAGAGCCGCTGTGGCTCCCAGTTTTTCCAAACGGGGCACCCCTTCAGCGATGTTGCGCAGCAATGCGTCAGTCTCCAGGTGTTCCTTCGCCTGCCCGCAGTCAGGTTCTTTGACGCATGATTGACGCTGCCTCCACCAGGCACCTCGTTCCGCCGTCTTAAACTGGACCTACCTTACCTGCACCTCTCTGGTCTCAGGTAGCACATTCTGCCTGGACGGCACTTTGCCTCACCGCTCAGTCGTCCTGGTTGCTTCGGGCATGTGAGCACACGACATTCCAAAGCTCAAGGTCTGGGCACCGCTACCGTCCCAAGAAACCGTTTCGACCATGTGAAGAAACAACCAAATCCCCCCGGTACCGGAGAAGCTGTCGGGGTCTGGGGCACACCACAAAGACGGCAGTCTTCATACCCCTCCTGAGTGCTTGAGCCAAAGTCGTCCGATCTCGATGTTGCTGTGGGTGTGCCACATGGACAGGAACGGCTGCAGCGGGAGCTAGATGATGACAGAGTAGAGCTGTAAGAACAAGGCAGGTACGGAGGAATAATTGACGACCTAAGACAGCGTCGTCGCCGTAGGAGCTGCCCATCGGAAACCGGCAACTTGAATTCATGCTTTGACGGAGACTCGAGGGAGCGGATCTCCAATATGCAAAATCGAATGTACGACATGACCTTACTCGACCTTATTTCAAAACTCAAACAACTACCCTAACCCAGCGGAGCTGAGCTGAGCTCCCTCGTTTGAGTAGCCCTTTCAGAGCTAATTCGAAGAAAATAAGTCGGACAAGATTCAGGGAGTTGCCCATCGTAGTGGTGTCGGCCAGGGTTCAGAACATCGGCGTCCTGTATCATGTATAAGTCATTTCAAGCTCGTCACCACAATCGCCCTTTTCAATCCCATCTTCACACGGACAAGCGGACTCTGCACTTTCCTGGGCTAAAATGCGCCTTTTTGCGCTATGCTCTCAGGGCTAGCCACGCGCCATGACGATCTGAAATATCTTACTTTTGTAGTGCCGTCTATGCTTTTGACCATATTACGCCCCAGCATCGATATGCGATTCATACACAAGGAAATTTTTGGTTGACCGTAAAAAAGACAACATCTCCGCCTCTTTTTCCGCTCCATCATTACGCGCCATTTACTCAAAACTCCACAGCTTCGTCAACAAGGTGTCTTGGACACCGGATTCCGGTTCGTTCGACAGGAACACCCTCTTCGGGATTTGAAATTCAATCACCGGTGGCTTCTTGACCTGCTTGGTCATCTCGGCCTCGAGCAACTGTGACAACGTTAGATACATTCATCCGAAAGTGCACTGGAAGGCAACTTACACTGCTGTACGAGTGGTCTAGGAAGTCCTCAATGTTGTAGGACTGCTTAGTGAACTGCTCTGACAGGATCTTTGCAATCGTCGCTACGTTGGGGTGGTAGTGCGTTTGCAGCTGAACAATCTCCCACAAGCAGCTGTCGATGGCATTTGTCTCCGTCGGATCCGCCTCATCCTCTACAAACGGGTCGTTGACGCCCTGAGTCTCCATGAGAGCCTTGATTTCCGGTTCTCTCGTCTCTCTGTGGAGCATGAAGGTGCACTGCGGATGCCTCTTGAAGATGTTGTACATCCAGGGAACGATGTAAACGATGGCGCTCGGAGGCGCGTTGAGGCTGAGCCTCGCCAGCCTCTTGATGAAGCTTGCCACGAGCACAGCAGGCAAGTGGGTCGACGCCAGAAACGTGTCCATGAGACGGAAGAATCTTGAGCGGTGCTTTGAGTGAAGAATGTCGCGGTCCAGCAGAGAGTAGAGCTTCGTGTAGAAGGAGGGGTAGTCAAGGTTGCGCTCCTTGATGAGGTAAAACACACCCGAAAGCGCGAGCAGAGAGATTGAGCCGCCAGCGTCGTAAGAGTCTGTGAGGAAATCGGCCAACAACTCTGGACGGGTGAACCACGGGGCGATCTCGTTGGACATGATGTCCAAAACCCGCTTGCGCTGCTCCTTTGTTGATGAGAGCTTGAGTACTGCGAGCCAGGCGTCTTGGCCTTGCCTTTTGTGCTGGTGTACGTTGTTAAGGACATGAGACTTTTGCTTCGGCTTCTCGACCCAGTACTTTTCCAACGCTGTCGGGACACTGCCAATATTTGACAGCAACTCGAAAAGATCGTCAAACAATTCGTCTTCTGGCGTTTCCCCTGGTGCATCGGCCATCGTCCTACTCTCTGTTAGTATACATGAGGCACAAGGGTTTCTCAAGACATACTTGATAGCCTTCAGTGTGAAAAAGCGGATATCGTCATATTCACTCATAAACTTCTCCACAAACTCGGCCCGGGCATCGTCACTGTCTGAGTTCAAGAGTGCCGTGATGACCTGTTGCAAGAAGCCTGCCGGGAAGTTGTACTCCTCTTTGTCGTTTAAAGTGTGAGCTTCAGTCTTGAGACATCTCATGGCCAGCGTCAACGCCGTCATCGCCAGATCTTCGTCGCCAAGAAGTTCGGAGAGAACCGACTTGTATTCGAAATATCGGTCCTTGAGCCACGACGCAACCACCAATTCCTTCTCCGACAGACCCTTCTTCCTCTGGAGAGCGCCAGCTGAGAGTAACCTGACAAAAACTCTGCACAAGGCCACAGAAGCCAGGGTTGCCGACTCGGGCTCATCTTCGAAAGTTTTTGCGATCTGGATCAGTTTGGTGATGTTGTTGTAGTTCTTCTTCGACTCCAAGATCTCACTCTCAAGGAGCAAGATCTCAGCTTGAGGATCACTCTCATCGCCACTGCTCTCGGGTTCAGACTCGGACTCGGATTTGGCGCGCTTCTTCGACTTCTCATTCGCGGGAACTCTTTTCCTCTTCAGGCCCTCGCCCGACGCTTTCGCAGGCATTTTTGGCGAATATTTTCGGTAGTTGATCTAGTTTGATATTGAAGCTCTGGGACCGATCTCAATTCTCGAATTTTACAGCGGGTCCAGTGAGACGGGAATTTTCTGTAGATGGCCCGGCCGTCCATTCAGCGAGAAGGAGGCATGGTCCAAGCGCCGTTAATCACGTGACGCCTGCTGACTGGCTCCCTCGGGTCTGTTCATCGAAATTCTCGTCTCCCACTAGAGCTTTGAACGTAGGACCTCAAAGCCGCCGTAATACCCGCATCCCCAGATCATCTCACAATGGCGTCCCGCTTGGCTAGAAGCGCTGTCGGTACGTCGAGACAACCTCCCCGAACCCATGGCGTGTCAATTGGCTGTCCCGACGATGGCGAAAAAAAGGCCGCAAGCTGGAAAGCAAGGACCCGTGGAACCTAGGCTAACACTCAGCTATCCCTTCTCGACGCAACAGGCGCGAACCTCCTCCGGCCAACCCTTGCCCGCCGCGCCCTTCCCGCCATCTCGGCCTCCGTCTCCGGGGCCCGCAACGCCTCCAACGTTCCCGCCGAGGACCCCAAGAAGAAGGCCCAGTCCATCGTCGATGCCCTCCCCGGCAACTCGATCCTCTCCAAGACCGCCATCCTCTCCTCCTCCGCCGCCCTGAGCGTCTACGCCATTAGCAACGAGTACTATGTCGTCAACGAGGAGACCGTCGTCGCCTTCTGCCTGCTCGCCGTCTGGGGCGGGCTGATCAAGTACGGAGGCCCGATGTACAGCGAGTGGGCCGAGGCCCAGGCCAACAAGATCAAGGGCCTCCTTAACCAGGCTCGCGCCGACCACACCCAGGCCGTCAAGGGACGCATCGAGGACGTTAAGCAGATGTCCAGCGTCGTCGAGATCACCAAGTCTCTCTTCGAGGTTTCCAAGGTACGATTCGACCGATGACGTTGATGGAGGGGTTCCGAGGACCGTACGAACGGATGGAAGTGGAGGGGAACGTAAACATGGCTCGGACTGAATGGGTTCGCTAACGGAGACGTTTACAGGAGACTGCCAAGCTCGAGGCTGAGGCCTACGAGCAGGAGCAGAAGACCGCCATCGCCGCCGAGGCCAAGGCCGTCCTCGACTCCTGGGTCCGCTACGAGGGCCAGGTCAAGCAGCGCCAGCAGAAGGAGCTCGCCGAGAGCATCATCGCCAAGGTCACCAAGGAGCTCGAGAACCCCAAGGTCCTCCAGCAGATCCTCCAGCAGTCCGTTGCTGATGTCGAGAGTAAGAAGCAATGCCCCGCGCCTACACCTCCGTCATCGGAAGTACCTCGGATATTCTTTTACTGACTCTCCTTTCACAGAGATCGTCTCCAAGCAATAGATTCCCCGACCTAGAGTCTGAGCGAGAAGATTTCTTTTGTCCAAGGGGTTCCCTTGCGTGTCAATAAACACCTGTGCATTAGCCAATCCAAGAACTTCGAAAAGGACGCCTTGACATCTGCTACGTGTCGCGTAATATGTTTAATTAGAAGAAACATGTACTCGACGGCATTCACGATCTTCAAAACGGACACGATGTGTGTCATCATTAAATTTCATTGACTATCGGTCCTACAGCTATCTATCAAGGCCACACTCAATTGACATGTTGAATGCCGTGGCGTTGCGGGTGTTCTTTTCCGCCCGCCCATCTCCGCCTCTAACTCCGACCCTTTCCGACATTCCCCGTCCGAGCATAGCAACCGGCCCGTCGGTACGCCAACCCCACCATGTCGACAGAAATCATTTCAAAGTCAATCAATCATGAAATCGCAACGAAAGTCAACGGAAATCATTTCAAAGTCAATCAATCATGAAATCGCAACGAAAGTCAACGAGCAATAAAATCTGTTCAATGTTGCTGTTCTCTCTTTGGAAAATCGAGGCAAGGAGAAGTCTGTTCTTGACATTGTACAACAAACAAGCCTGAACGCCGCCTCAGACCAAACTAAACCCATCCCAAAGCTCGTAAGCAAGGTATTGAGAAACGAAAAGCCCACGGGGCCTCCTTTCCACGCGTCAGATATGTTGTTACAAAGAAAATGTTACACGCGGTCGTCCTTTGGGATCGTAAGAGCTCAATAAACCATTCCCCCGGACGTTCAAGCATCATCCATATCGTGCATTCAGTAGATAGGTCGCGACTCTTCCCATTTCGAGTGAGCGCCAGCCTTCTCCGCCGCATCAGGGGTATCTTCTGTCTTGACGTCCGGTCCCGCGCCAAAGGAAATCCTTCCGCTCTTACGCCGTCTAGCAGTGTCTCCCGTGATAGGTCCGATCCACTCCCAAGCGCGACCAACCTCGCCGCTGCGTCCTTCTCTTTGACTGGTTCTCACGTTGCTATTTTGCTCAACAACAGCCTTGACACGCTTCCAGATGCGATCACGCTCGCCGAGCGAGTGCACAGAGCGGAGAACGTCATCGCGGAGGTTGGGCAGGAAGAGCCAAGGGTCGTCGATCTCTTCCTCACCGAGTTCCTTCTGCGTTGCCAGCCGAGCCAGAACGAGATCAACAAGCGCTGGGACCTGGGCCACAGTCGCCTTATGGGATCTGTACTTGGAGCGCACGTAAAAGTAACTAACAATCAACGCGATCACAGATCCAATTGAGAGTCGATGTCTTGCCAGCCCGAGCCTGAACGAGCGCTTGATGGCGCAGCCGATTGGAAGGCGAGCGAGAGAGGAGGACGATAGGTAGGCGTCTGAAACTGAGGTGGAATTGGCCTTTCTACTTCGGGCACATCCGATCTGGTTAGTACGCATGTTAGGAGTTGACGATTTTGATATAGGGGCAGGTTGAAGTCTGTGAAGAGCAAAACAGGAGATGTTGACTTACGGAACAACTTCCACTTCCTCGCGACCCTTGACATCCCCGATGGCGGCAACCCACAGGTCGTCAAACTCCTGCTTGTTCATCTTCTTGCTTCTCTTTGCGCTGATGACCTTCTTAAGCTCCTCCTCATCAATCGCGGGGGCCTCCGGCGCCTGCTGGGCTTCGTCGGTAGAATCACCGCACTCAAACTGGGCCCGCCTCTCTCGGAGCTCTTCGACTGTCTTGTCGGCCACAGCCTTCACCCTTCGGACCTTCTCACCGTCGGCCTCACATGTTGGGGGCAAGGGGACCAGGCCACCAAGGGCAAGTGGGTGCGGCTTCAGGATGAAGTCGGGCTCACAGCGGACAGAGAAGTCCTCATAGCAGTAAGCGTGCTGAGGGCACAGCTCGCACTGAGGCTCAGCCAGCTGGACCGCCCAGTCAGGGACGGGGATATCCGCGGGGATGATTTGCGTCGCGGGACGGCCTAGTCCGCAGTATCCAACAGCCACCTTCTCTTGACGGTACCAAGCGCCGTAGGCTCCAAGCAAAGAGACAGCCAGGGCCCAGAAAGGCTTGGCGAGACTTCTTCTGGGACGGGCTGGCGTACGGCGGGGTGCCAGAGCACTTTCACCACTTGCCGCCATTTCCTGCTCCATTTCAAATTGAGCATCCGGAGTGAACTCTTCGCCAGCCTCGACAATTTCAGCCGGCTGATACTCTGGTGTCTCTTCGCGCAACAATGTACCAACAGGGACCTCAAAGGCCTGTGATTTCCTGGATGACTTCGGTCGCTCTTCGGCGTAATGGCCGTCCGTTCGTCGTCGTACACTGTCGTTCTGGAAAAGATCCTGTCCAGTTCTCCTGCGTCCCGTAGCAGGGGTCTTGATGGGTGCCGGCGAGCTGCCGCTCTGGAACGGGTTGTCCATCGAGAAGTACTCAGACTCCCTCCGCTTCTTGAAAAAGTCCTCCTCGGACTCTTCTTGCTTGATGTGCGGGGTCACGTTGCGCTTGGTGCGGACCGACTTGGGCGGCTCTGGTTGCTCAAACACGGGCTGCTTAAACCGCTCCAACTGCTCAACCTGCTCAGGCTCGTAGTACGGCTCAGGCTCCACAGGTTGCCGGCTGCTTGCTCGCACCTTCCTCTTCGTTGGGCTGATCGGGGCCGGCGGCTGTTGTTCATACTCCTCGCTCTTAACTCGGGTGGAAGCCTTGCGCGGAGACTGCGATCGGGTCGTCCTGCGTCGTGGTGGCGGGGCGAGGTCGTAATCATCAAAAGACTCGCTTTCGTGATTGCTTCCCATATCCACGATCCCCTTGCTTGACCGCTTGGCTCTAGCCTGCTTCGCCAGAATCTTCTTCGCTTGAGGCAAGACCTCTTCGTTGAAGAGATCGACAAGCTGAGGCTTCTTTGCTGTCGAGGGGTATTGAATTTCGTGCGCCACGAGGATCGATCGCAGGCGGGGGACCGTCAGCGATTTCGGGTCGAACCCGGGCTGGAGGTATTCGTACTCGTCCATGTTTGCTTGGAGCTGTCTGTTGTTGGATGAAGAGAAAGGAAGAGCAACAGACGACAAGAAGCAATCGGACGTTATACCCAAGCAAGGACAGACTGTGGTGAGATCCGTGCGAGTGAGACACTTTGCGACGGCGATGTCAAAGGTAGCTGTCGTTGTTTGCTCTCTCGACTGTGGAACCCTGAAGAAAAGGGTAAGCAGGCTTCCAACAGCAAGGTAGAAAAAACGTGTCGCACGGAGGTTTTGGCCTTGTTTCTGCGGCCTTGACAGGCGGGCACCAGATCTTAGCGATGGTGTAAGATGCAAGTTGTGCAGACGATGCGCCCAGTGGACAGATGTTGATAGGGAAAGTCAAATAAGAGCCCACTGACGCAACAAAATCGCCCGCTCCCGCTGTCTGGGTGCTGTGGCAACGTACTGGGTCATGAGGTGTCTGAAAAACACCTAGTGTGGGGGCCTAGAGCAGGCAGAGCAGGCAGACAGGGGGGACATCAGTTGAAATTGCAGGGGTTATGTTATGGCTTCCAATCAGCACAGATCGCGGGTGATAGACACAGCCACACTTGGAGGGACTGTTCCGAACGACCGGGAGGCCTGGCTGTGGCTTTCAACGTGGCGAACTTTTTTCGAGCTTGCCCTGACATATTGGAGCTATTCGATTTGATCGTCCCATGTGATCATACGTCAAGATCGTACCTGCCACCCTGCCAGGAAGTTGTCAACTGGCTGTAAAAAAAATGGCAGCTTCACGCGCTCTTCTTCGGCCAAGGTTTGTCTGCAAGACCTGCACTCGCAGATTTCAATCGCAGGGCCGGCGGTCTTACGCGAGCACAAGCGCATCTTCGTCGGCGTCGGAACCAGACATCTACGATGTTGTCTGCGTGGGAGGCGGGCCGGCAGGTCTCAGTCTTCTGACTGCTCTCCGTACGAACCAATCGGTTGCTCCAACGATTGAATGAAGGCTGATCATTTTTAGGAGCCAACCCGGTGACATCCCGCCTCAGGGTAGCTCTTGTTGAAGCCCAGGACCTCTCCAAGACCCACGCCTGGAAGCTCCCCGCCGACAAGTTCTCGAATCGCTGCAGCTCCCTCACGCCGACTTCCGCACAATACCTCAACACGATCGGCGCATGGAGTCATCTGAAGCGCGACCGTGTCCAGGATTACAATGAGATGCAGGTCTGGGATGGTGTCAGCGGCGCAAGGATCGAGTTTGACTTACCTGGAGGAATCTCAGAGGGGAGGACCATCGCTTACATGTGCGAGAACCTCAACTTGACTTCGGGCCTGTTGAGTCGCCTGGACGAGCTGAGTGGAGTGTCAGTGTACGACAGTGCACGGGTTGAGCACATTGGCTTCGGCGAGGAGACGGAAGACTTCGATTTGACGCAATGGCCTGTCGTACACCTGTCAGGCGGGAAGAAGCTCCATGCGCGGTTGCTGGTTGGAGCGGACGGCGCAAACAGCCCTGTTCGCACATTTGCTGGCATCAAAGCTCGCGGCTGGGACTACGGCAGGCACGGTGTTGTTGCAACTCTGCAAATGGAGGGAGATGGATGGGGCGGCGAATACAACAAGATCGCCTACCAACGTTTCCTGCCTACTGGACCGGTAGCCATGCTGCCTCTTCCAGGTAACTACTCGACCTTGGTCTGGTCAACAACGCCTGAGCGGGCCGCATTTCTGAAGAGCCTCCCGCCCAAGGAGTTTATTGCTATGGTCAACGCTGCCTTCCGGCTGAGCCCGGTTGATATTGGATTCATGCACACCCAAGAGTCTGGCCAGTCGGAGGAGCTCGATTGGAGACTTGAGCACACCCCGGTGGACCGCTGCGCAGTCCCTCAGCAGGTTGTCGGTGTCCAAGACGGCACGATTGCTTCATTCCCTCTCAAATTGCGGCATGCCGACACCTACACGGCTGAGAGGATTGCTCTTGTTGGTGATGCGGCACACACCATTCACCCCCTGGCTGGTCAGGGTCTGAACCAAGGCCAAGGTGATGTTCAGAGTCTCGTGAAGACCATCGAGACCGCCGTGTCTACCGGTCAGGACCTGGGTTCAACCATCTCCCTCGAGGCTTATAACTCGGAGCGTTACATCGCCAACCACGTTGTGATGGGCGTCTGTGACAAGCTTCACAAGCTCTACTCCGTCGAGAGCGGGCCGCTGGTACCACTGCGGTCTATCGGCCTGAGTGCCGTCAATGCCATGGGTCCTTTGAAGAAGTTCTTCATGGAGCAGGCTTCTACAACCGGCGCTAAGTTGTTCTGAGAAAACCGAATGTACACTGTAACATTATCGTATTGCAAAAGTTGACGGATTGGCTGTCAAGTTGGTCGTCCAGCGCTCTATGTAGTCGTCACATCAGTTACCATGAATTCTTGATGAATCCGGTTCTTCGTTCTCAAGAGTAAAGGGGAATCATCATATGTGGTGAATAGCCCACGGGCTGCCGCAATCCATCGAGTCTGAGCAAGATTCCTTTTAGAAAAGAGAACAATGCGGTATATACGTAAATGCTCTGTCTCTTCACTCTACAAGTACAAAAGGAAGAAGATTCCTGACAGTCGTTTTGATTTCCCTCCTCTGAAGCACTCTACCGATCAACCTCACCTGAATTGACGTTAGTTATGCGGGTCGAAACTTGAGAAACTAGGAAAACTTACCGAACACCAAATCCATCGTACCGATAACCGCCACAGCGTCAGCAAGCATGTGACCCTTGCAAACGTGATCAAAGCCACCCAAGTGGGCAAAACCAGGGGCTCTGATGTGGACACGGTAGGGCCTCTCGCTACCGTCACTGACGACGTAGACACCCATCTCACCCTTGGGGGCCTCGATGGCAGAGTATGTCTCACCAGGGGGAACTGTGTAGCCCTTGGTGTAGAGGAGGAAGTGGTGGATGAGAGCCTCCATGTTCTCCTTCATGGCAGAGCGGGGCGGGGGAGAGATCTTGTAGTCCTCGCAGCGGATGGGGCCGGCAGGCATCTTGTTCAAACACTGGTGGATGATACGCAGGGATTGTCTGAACTCCTCCATACGGCAGAGATATCTGTCGTAGCAGTCGCCACGGACACCGACGGGAACATCAAACTCAACCTGGTCATAAGCATCATAAGGCTGGCTCTTGCGGATATCCCAAGGAACACCGGAACCACGGAGCATGACACCAGTGAAAGACAGGTTCAGAGCCTCGGCGGCAGAGATCACACCAACACCCTGGAGACGCTGGATCCAAATACGGTTGTCTGTAAGCATCTCTTCGGTCTCGTCGATACGGTCGCCGAACTGAGTGGCCCACTGGTAGATGTCGTCAAGAAGACCCACGGGGATATCCTGGTGGACACCTCCGGGACGGACGTAGGCGGCGTGGAGACGAGCACCGGAGACACGCTCATAGAATTCCTGGCAACCGGGTCAGCCGGAGTTTTCCCACATTCCTTCAGGACTAAATATCCGACTTACCATGAGCTTCTCACGCTCCTCGAAGCCCCACAAGAAGGGCGTCAGAGCACCAACGTCCATGGCGTGCGACAAAACGGACATCAAGTGGTTCAGGATACGGGTGATCTCGCCGAACAGGGTGCGAATCCACTTCGCGCGGTCGGGGATCTCAACGTTCAGGAGCTTCTCAACAGCCAGGGCGAAACATTGCTCGTTCGTCATCATGGAAACGTAGTCGAGACGGTCGAAGTAGGGAAGGGCCTGAGTGTATGTCTTGTACTCGCAGAGCTTCTCGGTACCTCGGTGGAGGAGGCCAACGTGGGGGTCGGCTCTGACGATTTCTTCACCGTTGATCTCGAGAATCAGACGCAACACACCGTGAGCGGCGGGATGCTGGGGACCGAAGTTGACAGTGTAGTGGCGGATCTTGCGGTCCTCCACGCCCTCCTCGGTAACCTTGGTGTGGCCATCGGTGCCCACTGGCCGGGTAATGCTGTAAGGGTCGGCGGCGGGAGAGAAGTCGGAGGCGACGGGCGTGAGCCTCGTTCCTTGGTATTCGGTGGAGGCATCGGCGTATCGGCGGCGGTAGGTCGTCGAGAAAGGGCGAACGGCGTTGAACGAGGAAGCTGCCGGGCGCAGACATAACCTCTTGGCGCTGTGGCCGGCGAGTCGGTAGAGGCCTGCCATGGTGGATGTAGAGTGGAGAGACGGCTTCAAAAGAGGTCGACGAGATGCGTGCCCCCAATTGAGCCTCCTTTATTATGCCAATGGCTGGGTGCCGGCTACGTTGGATGGAGGGGATTCGCCTTCGAATTGAAGTGTGAGTGTCATGTCGGAAAGCTCAGAAACCAGTAATTGCCTCGCGCTGATTGGTTTGGCGGGCCGCAGCCCTTCCGCGGACAGTGTGGCACGGTGCAAGTAAACGGTCCAGCGGAAAGCTACAAGGATGCGACCTTTAATTGAGAGCTCTCCAACAAACGCACCTGAGCTGCAGCCGCTGCAAAAAAGAGGTAAGGAAACTTTTTCATCGTCAAAAAATCACTACAAGTCCTTGTCGACGTCGCTCTAACTTTTCAGATGGATGGATGAGCAAAACTCGCTTTTTTGTTTCATTTAATGGCAAATGGCTCATCTCAGTTATCTTTCCAGATCTGGCTGACAAGAAGCCCCAGACCGCTTTTCGCACTCCGTCGGTGAGAAGAGCAGGCCCGAACTCCTCTGAGAGGAGTCACCGAAAATGCTATGGCCTTTCGGGTCAGGGAAACCTGAGCCTCCCAAAGAGAAAAAGTCCATCTTTTGGAATGACCTCCTCCCGCAGCCAGATCCTCCACTGCACGCCGCGAGAGAGTGGGCGCCCGTCTTCCTGACCGCTGTTGGGTCGCTGGCCGTATTCACTTTTTATAACTCACGCCTGCGGCGATATCCCACAACCGGGCATATCTCACCAGACCTCTTCAGGAAACGGACACTGTTCGGCCGGGTCACGAGTGTCGGGGATGGAGATAACTTCCACATGTACCATACCCCAGGCGGGAGGCTCGCTCTGTGGGGTTCACTGAGGAGAGTTCCCACCACCAAAGCCAAGCTCAAGGGGAAGACGGTGAGAGTTGTTCTTACACATTTGAGGGGCACAACCACTAACAAGCGCCGTTCAGATACCTGTGCGATTGGCTGGGATCGATGCTCCTGAGGGCGCTCACTTTGGTAAGCCTGGACAACCAGGTGCTCCAGAAGCTCTCAAATGGCTCAACGACTACATCTTGAACCGACGCATCTGGGCAAGGATCCACAAACGCGACCAATACGACCGCGTCGTTGCGACTGTCTTCGTGAGACCGTTCCTTTTCAAAAAGGACGTCGGGTTGGAGATGCTGAAGCGAGGCCTGGCAACGACTTACGAGGCAAAGTCCGGAGTGGAATGGGGAGGTTTTGAACAAAAGTACAAAGCCGCTGAAGCCAAGGCCAAGGAACAGAAGCTAGGCATTTGGGCTGGCAAGGCTAGCGACTTTGAAAGTCCCAGGGATTACAAGACGAGAATCAACGAGGCGGGAGAGAAGGTCGTGGAGGAGGTGAAGCCGGATGAGAAGAAGAAGAAAGAAGAGAAGAAGACCTGGTGGTTCTTTTGAGACGAGGGCTGCGGGTACGGCTTCTGCATGAGACATGACTGTTTATGAGCCGATTCATTTTCGACATGCACATACGACAATCACTAGCAGCGAGCATATACGGTACCTATCATAGGACATGAGATGCCAGGGTAACCCTTCATGAGAATAGATGCGTTATGAGCAACGGTGAAATCGACTGGGATCTGTGAGGGTGAATGAGTTGGCAATCGCCTAGTTGCATATAGCTGATTTGTCAATACGGCTGCATGATTGGCTGGCAATTTCCCGGGTCGCTTGCTGGCTCCTGCCCCTTGCACTGTACCGTACGCCTGCCCCTGTGTTTGACCCGAACTTCAGAGGTGTCGGACGCCTCAGTGGCCAACCTTCTCCCAATCCTCACCAAGCGACTTCAACATTGAACGTCGGAGTGTTTCTCGTGTTTCTTCAGGCCCTTTTCCGACAATTATATTTGCTTCGACTGCTGTTCTCTCATACACACCGTATCTCCTAATCGTCGCTGGCGGCGACCCTTCGCCCAAGATGTCGCTACAGGTCAGGGGTCCCGACTTCTCGGTGACCAAGCAGAAAGCTCTCGAAGATGCAAAGAAGATGCAGTCCGCGGTTGATGAGGAGGTGGCCAAGGCAGGCCAGGACAAGCCACCTTATCTTCTCAACGAGCTCATCGGCAAAGGAAGTTTTGGTCGAGTCTATAAAGCAACCGACATTAATACGAGTATGCTCGTTGCGGTCAAGATCATCGACATCGAAGAGAGTGACACCGTCAATCCCAAACTCGCCGACACCTTCAAGGAATTTTTGGCCGAAGTCAACGCCCTGAAGCTTCTCAGTGACAGTGGCGCCAAGAACATCAATCATGTCATCGACGCGCTTCCCGTCGGCCAGTCAATGTGGATGATCACCGAGTATTGTGCTGGAGGAAGTGTCGCGACGCTCATGAAGCCGACGGCCCCGGGTGGACTTCAAGAGAAGTGGATCGTTCCCATTCTCAGGGAGGTTGCAGAGGCTGTCTTCTGGGTTCACCGGCAAGGAATTATTCACCGAGACATCAAGTGCGCCAACGTCCTGGTCACCGAGGCTGGCGGCGTTCAGCTTTGTGACTTTGGAGTTGCTGGTGTCATCGAGACCAAGTTTGACAAGCGATCTACGTTCATTGGCACGCCTCACTGGATGGCTCCTGAGCTCTTTGATCAGTCAACATCCTACGGTACGGAGGTAGACATTTGGGCATTTGGCTCCATGGTGTATGAGATTGCCTCAGGTCTGCCGCCGAACGTTATGGCAGGAATCGACGTCTATCAACTCGGAAACTACATCAAGGCCCATACGCCTCGATTGGAGGGTGATCAGTACTCCGATCAACTCAAGGATCTCGTAAGCTATTGTTTACAGGAAGAACCTTCGAAGCGGCCAACGATCGAAGATGTCCAAAAGCATCCCTACATCGCCAACACCGCACAGAAGTATCCTGCCTCGTCACTGGCTCTGCTGGTTAGAGGTTTCAAGTTGTGGGAGTCCCAGGGTGGCAGTCGAAAGTCCCTATTCGCACCTGGGGGTGCGCAAAATGTCTGGGACACGGACGACTCAGACTTGTCATCCACAGCGATGGCGAATGACGAATGGAACTTCAGCACGACCATGGCTTTCGATCAACAGGTGTTTCAAAACACAGATGTCCAGGCGGTCTACGATGTGTATGGCTCAAACGTAGATTTTGATCCCGGATTTCTGGATGAAATGTCAAGGAACAAGCCGAAGGGTGGTCGCAGAAGGCCACCTCCTCAAGCGCTTGCCGCGATGAAGGCTCCTCTCGAAAAAGTCTTTGACCCCAATACGATTTCCAACTACGAAGATAATTCCCGGGCTTACTATGGCCGGCCTGTCCCTCCGCCGGCTTCCGATCTCCCTCTCCGAGACGATTCCCTTCAGTCGATGACAGTAAGAGAGTCTCTCATCGACCTCGATGCTTCGCTGAATGGTAGCAACCTTGCCAACTTTGTGGACATGAATACCATCAGAGCTGGTGCACCACGTGTGTCTGTTGACTACCACATGGGAGACGAACCAGATTTCAACAAGCCACCTCTGAGCGACCCAGCCGATCTGAACCCCAACAGAAGGACGCAGGACTGGAAGTTCCCATCAATGGCGCCGCCAGCCTCGGCGAACCCTGAAATGTCCAGGTTTCCTTTTAACGAGGACCGCTCAGGACCCAACTCCGCCTCCAGACCTCAAATGTTCCACCATCAGACCGACCCTGTCCCCGCCCCTAACTATGGAGGTGACTTGACGGTCCCACGGTCGAACTCTCAGATGAACAACAGAGAATCCACCGGGAGCTTGATTGATTTGGACGATCTCATGGTTCCGCAAAGCAACCAGAACAACCGCATATCAACCGGCAGTCTAATTGACCTCGACATGGGCCTCGCAGACCCCACGCCAGAGCTCACCCGTCCGTCCACGGCCAACTCAGACGTTGCTTCAGTAAGTGGTTCAGAGATGGGCCTCGCCAATCCCTTCGATCTCGAGCGCCACGCGTCTCTGTATGTTCCAACGTCCAACAGAGAACCTTCTATCTACGTGCCTGCGGGAGACCGCGAGCCTTCTATCTACGTTCCTGCAGGAGATCGCGAGCCATCGCTCTACATTCCCACATCAGACCGCGAGCCGTCCATCTATGTTCCAGCAACAAACCGAGAACCGTCAATCTATGTGTCCGATGATTCCGATTTCGCAAGGAGCATCCCTAAAGATGATGACCTCGGCCTGGTCGACCTCAACCTAGCCGAGCCCAGCGGCACCGTTCGCCCTGCCAACGGCCAGGCCGGGCTGCGACTCAATACCTACCAGTCGTTCAACAGCGCGGACTACTCAGATCCTGAGTTCCTGACACCTCAGCAAGCCGCGCAGCCTGTTTTCCCTGGTATCCCACGTTCGACGAACCGCGGATCAGTGCCACTGCCACTGCCGCCTCCTCCGGCACCGCCATCGGTCGAGGTTATGCAGGGTTCAGCCAGCGCCGACGCTGTGAAGGAGGAATTGCGGAGGATGGCGATGAGTTTGGGTGAACACTTGAGTCACGCGAACCAGTACCTGTCTACACTGCCTGTGCGCAAGGGTGGCAGACAGGACTTGATGGGAGAGATGGCATAGCGCATCGGTTTGCCAGCAATCATCACAGTATACGAATATTCGATGCCAGAGGCTGGTAACCTATCACAGGGAGGGCATACAGGCGTTTACGGAAATAGTGTAAAATAGCGGAGGCGTATTGCTATTTTGTTGGATGGTTCATATTACTACGGGTCCTCACCTCTGTTTTTAATGTAAAAGTCACAGCCACGGCCACATATAGTTAGTAAGAATAACAGTCACTCCTTTGGACAATTTCTCTCCGATTCAGGTAAACTCTATCCTACTGGAATCCAATCATGTCGCCCAATAGTAGGGCGCGATACTTTTCCGCTGCCTCTTGCAGCTTGATGAGTACCGCAGCGGCAAGCATCTTGACATCATTCTCCTCCCCGCCATCCTCTCCGCGGGTATTGTTGAAGATGC